AAATAAAGCAGTTTGTTGAAACGTAACAAACACAATTTATTGATAATGCTAACAAAAGTGATATAGGTTATGACTCGTTAAATCAATATTTTTTTTTCCTTCTTGGAGATCTAATGTATCTCATGTATTTAGAATAATTTTAACCTGGAGAGACTCACACAGAGAAAAAAGGAGATTAGAGAATTTATTTGACATAAATACATTTAAAGTTTTGGCGCTCAGACCCCGGCAGAMGACRKGTGTGCTGAGAATTGCAATAWTCTTAAAAGAGCAGGATGAGGAATGTCTCCCTCCAGGGGCCTGGACACTGGTGGTGGAGGCCAAAGAATTTGTTAAGTTACATCTAGATTTATCATTTACATTTATTTATGCAGCGCCAGGACTCAACATGCATCATCCCACGACACTGGACGTGAAGTAAAGCAGTCCAAGGTAGGCAGCAGATTGTGTCAAAGGAGTTCGACGTTGACTCTCATCACAACACATGGTGACAGAGGAGAGGAAAAACTCCCTTTATCAGGAAGAAACCTCCAGCAGAACCAGACTCAGGACAGGCGGCCATCTGCATTGACCGGCTGGGTTTGGGGGACAGAAAAAAGAACCAAAAAAAAAAAGGGCAGAAGGCCTGGTCCAGGTGTATGAGTCGAGAGAATGAGGGTGGAGAAGCAGAGGAGGGTGGGTTGAAGCTCGGCTGGTAGGAGGAGCTGTGGATGGTTAGGCTTAAATGGAGACTTGTCTGATGCTGATAGGCTGTGGCAGGAGCACATGATGCTGCAACCAGATGATGCAGGTGAGGCTGGACAGTCTCCCAGATTATGCCTTGGTTTATGCATAAATTTCAACTAAATCATTAGTCAATGTCTCTTGCCACTAAACTCACATCTTTTGTCATTTTGAAGTGATTCCAGAGATTGTTGGGATTGTTTTTTTTTTTGTTTTTTTTTTCATTGCAGAATCATTCAAATTTGTTTTTGGTTTACATTACAATCAAACGTTTGTTTTGAAAGCAACTTATCTGTCATAACCTGACAAATTTTACAGTTTAGTAAAGTTTGTCAGGTTGTTACGACACTAAGACGTTAAAATAAATGCCTTACATAAACTAGTGTCACCGCTCTGTGAACTGCATCAACAGTGAGTGTAACAAYGTAAAACTTTTACTCAAATCTCTGACAGACACTTTCTGCTGTCAGGATCTGGTGGAAACGAGTCTCACCTCATGAGTCAATATTAGRTTCACAAAATCAAGCTAGGTTCTTCTTGTGTCACTTATTGCCACAACATATTCAACTATATTTGGTGCAGTTTATGTCATTATTAGATTACATTATCATATATATTGCACCCTTTAGGCATTTATATCATTGTAAATATACAGAAATGAAACATTAACTTGCTWTATTTTTACTATTTAAAAACTAATCCAAACTTTTACCCTGTTATTAAACAATTACAGATTTCTAGCAAAAGTTAATTATAAGATTTCTCCACAAGAGTTGCTTCCCTACAATGAAAAAATAATGTATATCTATTAATGTTCCAACAATGTGAGCCCACAATTCAGAGAAATATAAAGTTAGAAATTCAGATTTAAGCTGTTTTTGTCTCAGAACTGACAAATTGTTTTTATTTTTTCAATGTCCCACAATCCTTACAAAGAAAAGAAGAAATGTGCTAAATTTATTTTTTATGATCTGAGACTGGAGCATCTGCAGTCAGCAGTTTTCACAACCAGGAACAAATTAAAAGATGCAGAAGGAGAACTGCTGGCAAGATAAGAAAAATACACCTAAAGTGAAAATTCGACAACTTTGTGCAATTTTGCATAGAATTTAAATACTTGGGTKGCACCCACAGGAAGCTGGATTAATAGGAAAGTGGTGCAATGAACGTGAAAAAAATGAATATAACTTATAATTAAAGTAACATTGGATTTATGCTGAGATCTGAGTCACTCTAGGAGTCAGAATAAACTCAAGCACAGCAGCAAATTTACAGCAGCGTTTCTGAAACAGAAAGAATCAAAGTCGAGACCTCAATCTGACTGAAATGCTGTGGTGGGATGTTATAAGAACTGAGTGTATATCAACAAATCTCATCAAATCTCAATGAACTGAGACAAAGTTGTAAAAAAAAACAAACTGTGAAAAAAGTGCACCAGAATTCTTCCACAGAATGATAAGGTCATACAGAAAACAGTTCTTTTATTTTGCAGAGAAAGGCAGCTCTGCGGGCTGTTAAATTAGTAATGTGCAAAGTG